ATTGATTTATTTATTTATTTATTTATATTTAAATTTATACCCTGCCCTACCCCGAAGGCTCAGGGAGTAATTTTTGTAGCAGTAGCAATTAACCTGAAAGGAAAGCAATAGCAATTAACCAGAAACAGACCAACCTCCCCAACCTTCATGGCAGCATAGCTGACAGTTATAAGAATGGCCCCTATGGTGCCGCCCTGGCTCTAATCTTTTTGGCCGCAAGGGCAGAAAGGGAGACGCTATAGGTTACAAACTCATCGGTATCTGATAACAAGAATACAATCTTCTCATTTTCAGAATATGCTTTTACAGTAAATAAAATTCCTGCCAAGAATTTGTCTCTGGGTATAGCGGGCAGGCTAAGATACAGTGAGGGAGGTTTTCAACGGCAAGCGAACCGCAAATACATCTACTGTGTTCTGTTGGAACTTGAAGAAATTGACCCTCCTACAATGTTGTGTGCATTGTTTGAAAACGCTGGGCAGTCAGAGACACCCTGAGGTTGTAGTTGGAAATATTATCTAGATAAGATGATCTAAAATGATCAGATTTGACAAATTTGTACCACGGAGCTGTTTTTGACTTTATGATAGCAGAGTGGTCTATCACAGTCACACGGGCCAGAAAATTCAGGGGGGAAGCATGGCTGTTAGCCCCGGAGCAAAGTAACGCGCGGCAGCCCGATCACACGTCCCGTCGAGGTCCCGTGGTTAGGCCGTTAAGTGTCGATCACACAGCTATCCTGCAGCGCAGCAAAGAAGCGGTGCAGCGCAATCACACCGGCAATCGCTAGGCGCCGCTTCCGTGGCAAACGGGAATTTTTTTCCATACCGAAGTTTGCGCATGCGCATTATCGTTTGTGGGCATCCTGTGGAGACTTACAAAAAAACCAACACATCCGGTGTGCGATGGGACATGGATGGGCACTGGATGCCATGGGATTCAAGCGGAAACGCGATCAGATGCCCGCCCTTGCCCCGCGTTTTCTGGAAACTAGTACATTGTATGTGGTATTTTTTAACTCTGCATCTTCGGCGAGAAGCCACGGGTTAGCCACGGTTGTACTATGCTTCCCAGATGTTGTGGTGTGATTGCGCGCCGAAAATCCTGCCTATCATCCGTGTCTTTAGAATGGCACCTTCTCCGTGTGAACAGGACCTGATTTGAATATCCATCCCCTGAGTTGGGAATTGTCGTCTGAGGCCCTGAGGTGGTCATCAGGTATGGTGTATCTACTAAGGATATGGCTAAAGGGATCAGAATGCATAGGGTCTTTTGTTAATGACGATCTAACAGATTGGTGGCTTAAAGAGTTAGATCGAGACAAATTGGTCTTCTTCCAGTATTTTATAATTGCAAGGTCAACCCTTGCTTTAATAGAAGGTAGACTCTAAGGCATTATACTGGTTTGAGGTCCCACCCCCACCCCAAACTCCACCCTCCACAGGCTCCACCTCCAAAATCTCCAGGAATCTCCCAACCCGGACCTGGCCGCCCTAGCTGTGATATATAGGGGGCACTGATGATTCTGTTTTCCTTACCAAAAATAGCCCCCTGAAGTTGCTATTCACTGCAGGGCAGAGAAGTTAGACAGGTGGGTACAATGTGGATACCTTTCTCTATAGTGTCACAGCTTTGGGGAGGGGTGACTTTGAAAGAGGAAGTAATTTTGGTGTAAAAACTAAAACGCCTTGCTTCTGGCACCACAACCCCAATCTCCTTTAAGTCCTCATTGCTGCTGTTTATTCTTGGGGTTAGGGGAACAGTGTGTGGTTAATGCATATTTTGATTTTCACAGGGGCAGACAGAAACTGTGGCTGACACAAATATACCTTCTGGACATTTCTTGGCAGAAGATGGTGGAAAGGAGGAAGCAAGCAGGGAATCAAAGGCTTCTTGTACTACCTCCTCTCTCTGATATAACTCTAAAACCAGGGGTCATTTCCTGCGGGAGCGCACAGGAGCGGAGCTCCGGCAGCAAGGAGCCCAGGGGGCGGGCACATGCCACAAGCCCCGCCCCTGCTCCCAGCAGCCCTCAGTCGGGCCACGAGGAGCAGGAAGCAGCCAGGTAAGTTGCAGAGCCCCCCCCGGCCCGCCTTCAGGTACAAGCTCTCCCTCCTCTGTGAGGGCAGATCTGTGCGTTCCCCCCCACAATAGCTAGCAATCCAAAACAGTCCAGCGGAGCCTTAGCGGTGGGTGTTGCCTTCTGACACACTTCTGATGATGTCAGGGGGTGTGGCATATGCAAATAAGTTATGGTAATGAGTTATGCTAATGAGCTCCTGCACCTCTTTTTCTACGAAATGACCCCTGTCTAAAACAGTTTTAAAGACATCAGTGTGTTGACAAACATCTTGTTCAATGGGAGAAACATACTTCTTAAATCCCACCCAGAAAGGCGATCTGCAGAAGCTTTGCATGATGGGTGAGGATCCGATTGTGCATGTGATCCATTCTTGCCTCTCCAGAGATGGGCGTGACTCCTGTTCCTTTATTTTCCATATTTTTATCTTACCTTACCAGAAGCTCTATATTATATCATTGGCTCTTTTCTAGGCCTTTCCTTTCCTCATTTCCCTGTGAGTTTCCTGGTCTTTTCTGTTGCTATCGATCATGTGATTATCATGAAAATCCTTCAAGCAAAATATTTTCCAGCCAGACTCCAAATCTGATCAAAGCCTCTTGGTGCTAATGCAAGTAAGTTTTCCTGACAGGCACAAAATGCTTTTGCAGAGAAGAGTGTGTTCCCATTAATGGCTAATTGGTCACCTTGGTGGCTTGATTAGATCAGCCCTTCTCCACTAATGCATGTGCACTAATTAAACTGGGACTGCTCTTCACGTACACCGTGAAATCAGTCAGCCCTTCTGCCTTTTTTGTGGTTGCTTTTAGCATCCACCTTCTCTCCCATGCAGAAACCTGTTGTGATTATTCAGCTGACTGGGAATCAGCATGTGGTAAAGGGATGGAGAGTTTGCATGCATTCAGCTACCCTTCACCTTGTTGGAAGTGGAGGACTGTACGCTGTCTCCTTTCTCAGGCTTCAGAGATGGCACCATGGATTTTGACAGATAGAGAGGTCAGGACACACACAGAGCATCCTTTCCTCCCTGCTATCTGATGATTAAATACTGGGTTCAAGACGCATTACAGTGAACAGCTCTACTTTATTAAGTGATTTCAGGAGCAAGACTGAAGACTCCAGGGCAACAGCCCTGTTTAAATAGCATGCAAAAACCACACCCAAACACACCCAACTCCCAACATAGGCTATTTACATAAAATTAGTTTCTCATTGGTCACTTCCAGAGTCCTGGTGCGCTATTGTTCTAGAGCTCCAAGCTCAGCCAGTCTTTGGTAGATAGTCCTGGAATGTTCCAGACCTAATACATAACACTGATACTATCCCTTTGAAATAGAAAGCTATTCTTAGGGGCAAGATTTCCTTCCTTCTCTCTCTCTCACACACACCAAGAAGGACCACAAACTCTCCATCTTTGTCCACCATGGATCCAGGCCATGCATTCTGCATCAGCATTCATCATAGCTAGTTAACTTTAATTGGGAAAACATCAATAAAGCTAGATATAAAATAATGATTTACAGTTGACAAGTTATAAGTTTATCACTCTGTATTCTGTATTCCGAAAGAATGTAAGTTGTTATGAGATAGAAACCTTATAGTATTATTTTTTCCTCTTCTTCTCTAAGTGAAGCAACCTATATTTGTGTATTATAATGTTGAATTCTGTATTCCTTTTGAAAAAGAATAAAAATTGTTTGGGGGGGAAAAAAAGAAAGAAAAAAATCATAGCTAGTTAGATTAGATTCTATCCCAGTCTCTCAGTCTGTACTATCTAGAATGTACTTCCTTGAATAAAGTACTCTTATTCGTTTGAAACTGACAAGTGGCTCGCTGTAACGATGTAACTTTGCTAGCACACACAGTACTGAGAAGCTGCCGCTGCGTGTAAGCCTCGTGCACTCTGCTACGTTACAGAGATTCCTGGCAGTACCATACCAATGAATCTAACACACCTATCTCCACCTAAAGGAAGAGGCTTTCTGCTCACCTGGGTTTCGCAGTCCAGCAGTCGAATGGACTTGTCATTCACTTGCAACAGCATCTCTTGTGCCCAGATCTTCTCTTTGGAGTTGAGCTGCTTGAGTTTCCTAATGGCATCATCCACTGTTACAATGGCCTCGCTTTTGTCCATGATGAAGGTTGCTAAGTGCTGGAATGGGGAAACACATAGTGGGAGAGTATAATAATAATCAGCAGGAGGCCATAAACCAACTTAACACAGCATGGCTTTTCCCCAAGGATCATGTGTTCATAAGTCATTACAATCATCATCTCGCACCTGCCTGCATGAAAACAGCAATACTAGAATAGGTAAAGGTAAAGGTTTCCCTTGCTCGAAAGCCAATCGAATCCAACTCTAGGGATGCGGTGCTCATCTCCGTTTCCAATCCAAAGAGCCAGCGCTGTCCGAAGACGTCTCCGTGGTCATGTGGCCGGCATGACTAGACGCCAAGGTGCATGGAACGCTGTTACCTTCCCCAACGAAGTGTTACCTATTTATCTTTCTTGCTTTCGAACTGCTAGGTTGGCAGGAGCTGGAACTAGAGACGGGAGCACACTCCATCATGCGGCACACTCGGGTCTCGAACTGCTGACCCACCGACATTCTGGCCTGCAGTTCAGCGTCTTAACCAAGTACAAACATAGCAGAGAAAAATGTTTCTTATTTTCCTGAACTCTCCTGAGATTTTTTCCTGTTTCATCACCACATGCAAGGAGTTAACAACTTCACATCATGAGACTGTTCCATTTATTACACAACTATAGGGAAAAGGTTGGTCACTGAAGGTACATTTGTCAACACTGGCTTTCCGATTAGTATATACAGGAAAGGGGACCAGCGATACTCGCAGGGGGGGGGGGAAGAGCTCCACACAGAGCAGGAGGAGGAGGAAGCAGCAGGTAAGCTCCCCCTCATCCCTGCCAATTCCCTCCCCGTCCCCGGTCTCTTCCACCACCACCACTCCTGGCTCAGGGGGCGAGGCCCGAGTGGCTGCCAGCTGCCAGGCCTCGCCGATTTCCCCCCCATCTCCTCCCCCCCGACTCTGGAAGCGAGGCCCAAGCGGCTTGCAGCCGCCGGCCCACCAAGCCTTCTCCCACCCTCCTGTCCCCTGTGGCGGCGGCGGCGAGGCAGTTCGCAGAGCATTTCCTGCGCATGCACAGGGAAAGTTCTTTTACTTTTTGAGTGATTTAAATATCCCCCCGATATTTTTTTCACCTTTTCAGATTTTTATGCACACCTGGGGACTGCCCCAAGTGTGCAGGAAAATCTCCCTGCCTCCCAGGTGCCCCTGATGTGCGGATTTAGATATCCACACGCAGGGGGCGCCTTCACTATTAGATATATAGATGATGTGGAATGGCCAACATCATTTTGCTGGGTGCATTTG